AACCACCCATGCAAGAGGGCTGGACTTACAGCTGCGTCTCCACAGGGTCTCTGTACTGCCGGGAGAATTGAGGCAAAGCATGTTTAGAATGAACAGCAGAGCTAAAGGCCAGTCTGCAGATCAGCACCAGCCCATAAGGTGGTCCAGATCTGTTTTTACAAGTGAGGAACGTGAAGACAAAGCGTGTGTGAGTATGTGTGTTCGCACTACATACGACATGCTGAATGTTCACAATGTAGAGTGCCTTCTCTTTACTCTGACAGCATAACAGAATGTCCTCTCTTGCTATGTAGTAGTTGGGGTTGTTGTTGCTCTATATCTTGGGGAAAAATCATATAAATTGTCCTTAAAAGCTAATCCTGGCTGTTGATTTTGGAAATCTGTTAACCACTGAAAATGGAGGAAAAAAAGGGGAAGGAAAGGGAAGGGAAGGGAAGGAAAGGGAAAGGGAAAGAAAAAAGGAAGGGAAGGGAAAGGAAGGGAAAAAAAAAAAAAGACAAGACAAGACAAGACGCTATGGCCATCTCTGAATCAAACGGCTCAGGATCTGTAGTTCCTTGCAACGGCCACCAGAGGCCACTATTGTGCACAAATTTGGAAACTACGCAATTGTGCCCTGTGGAGAAACCAGGAATATGATTCTCTCTAAATTCTATTTTGAGATTTATTTTTTATTTTATTTTTTATTTTCTTTATCACCGAGCCATCTTTCTAACCCCTATACTTTTACAAATTGTGGTAAGTCACCCGCAACACAACACATTCTCGTTTTAAACGCTTCTCCCTGTAGTAGGAATTGAACCCAGGCCTTTGTAGCTGCTGCCTCCCTCCCCCACATTTCCATCCAGTTACGGATAGAGTTCAGTGGTGTTGGGTACATTTTCAGCCTTGCATAACTCCGTTTCCACCGTCTCCGTAACGATGCCCATCCTACTGAACTGAAACTATGCCAGTTACACGGTAATTCCTTCCTGTCAGTGTTTGTCCTTTTATGATCTGCTTACTTCACCTAATGGGACATCTTCAATGTTGATCCATGATGTAGCAAGTACCAAAACGTTCTCTTTTAATGGTAATGGTAATGGTAATGGTATTTTGTGTATAAAATAACATTTTTGTTTGTTGTTTGTTTGTTTTCAAGACAGGCTTTTTTTCGTAGCCTTGGATGTCCTGGAACTTCCTCTGTAGACCAGGCTGGCCTCGAACTTACAGAGATCTGCCTGCCTCTGCCTCCTGAGAGCCGGGATTAAAAGGGTGTGCCACCACAAGGCACAAAATAACTTTCAATATTTAAATTTATTTTATTTTATTCTTCCGCTTTTTGAGATAGGATCTTGCTAAGCTGCCCAAGCTGAGCTGGAACTCACTATGTCACCTGGGCTGGCTGCAAACTTGGGATCTTTCTGCCTTAGCCTCCTGAGTCCCGAGACTCTAAGTCTGGTTCTCGAAACTTGTATGGGAACAAATTTCAGCCACAGTAGAAATGCAGAGAATAGCATGATACCCTGACAGGAGCCTGTTGTTCCCCACTGTCCACACAGTCGTCTGGTCTATTGCATGCACACCACTCATACCTTAAGAAGGTAATTCTAGAAATGCCAGTAACCTGCAGGCATGTGAATAGATCTAAAAGATGAGGTTAGTATTTTAAACATAACTAGAATATTTTTATCATACCCCAAAACATTTAATTATGATTCCATAGTACAATTAACTCCTAAACCTCTGCCCACCTTTCTACATAACTTTTCATGCTTATTTTCTTATATTTATAATTGATCACTTTAAGCTTGCAAAGGTCTGGTTGTGGTAGAGGGACCTGGTTCTGAACCAAGAGAAATGGGATTTGCGTGGATCAGAAATCCTTCCTGGATGTGAAGGAATCTTTGCCATGCTGTCTGTTCCAGCTGTTTGTTCCCCTATAGAAGAAGAGCTGGCGAAAGATGGAGGCAGTGTAGGGAGCGGCTGAGGACCTTGTGAAGATTCACTTCTGCTCGAAGTTCTGGGCTCTGCTTCCTCCTTCTCCAGGAACACATAGTAGCTTAGTTTTTTTAATGTTATTATTTTTTTATTTTTAGAAATTACAGTTTATTCACTTTGTATTCCAGCTGTAGCATCCTCCCTCATCCCTTCCCAATCCTACCTTCCCTCTCTCACCTCCTCCCATGCCCCTCCCTTAGTCCACTGATAGGGAAGGGCCTCCTCCTCTTCCCTCTGACCCTAGCTTATCAGGTTTCATCAGGACTGGTTGCATTGTCTTTCTCTGTGGCCTGGTAAGGCTGCTCCCCCATCAAGGGGAGGTGATCAAAGAGCCAGCCATTGAGTTTATGTCAGAGACAGTCCCTGTTCCCATTACTAAGAAACCCACTTGGACACTGAGCTGCCATGTGCAGGTGTTCTAGGTTATCTCCATGAATGGTCCTGGGTTGGAGAATTAGTCTCAGAAAAGACCCCTCTGCCCAGAAGTTTTTGATCTGTTGGTCTCCTTGTGGAGCTCCTGTCCCCTCCAGGTCTTTCTCCCATTTCTTTCCTAAGATTCCCTGCACTCTGCTCAAAGTTTGGCTATGAATCTCAGCATCTGCTTCAATCCCCTGCTGGGAAGTCTTTCAGAGGCCCTCTGTGGTAGGCTCCTGTTGCCTGTTTTCTCCCTCTTCTGATGTCCATCCAGTTTGCCTTTCTGAGTGAGTATTGATCATCTTATCCAGGGTCCTCCTTCTTGCTTAGTGTCTTTAGGTGTACAGATTTTATTATGATTATCCTATATTATATGTTTAATAGCCACTTGTAAGTGAGTATATCCCATGTGTGTTTTTCTACTTCTGGGATACCTCATTCAAGATGATGTTTTCTAGTTCCCACCATTTGCCTGCAAATTTCATGATTTCCTTGTTTTTAATTGCTGAGTAGTATTCTATTGTGTAAATGTACCACAAATTCTGTATGCATTCCTCAGTTGAGGGACATCTGGGTTTTTTCCAGATTCTGGGTATTACAAATAAAGCTGCTATGAACATGGTTGAGCAAATGTCCTTGTTGTAGTAGCTTAGTGTTGAGATGGTTCAGAAGATCACATTTTGAATGCACTCAGAGCTTGAAAAGGAAAAGCTTAAGAATAAAACAAAAAGAAAAATTAAATGAACAAGAAATGCTGGAGAACTATAAGACAGAGACAAGGAAGCCAGCAAAGGTGGGGGAGGAGAGTGTTTCTCTGTTGGGAGCATGGGCTGTTCTTTTCAGAGCTCAGTTAGTTGCCTAGATTCTGGTCCCATGGTACTACCACACTCCTGTGGCTGCAACCCCACACTCCTGGGGGTTTAACACCCCCTTCTGCCTGCCCCATTCCATATGCTTGAGCTCATAGGAGTAAATACATCTTTCAAATAGAGGGAGAAAGGTTAGAAAACCAACATGAAAGAAGGGGTTTGGGGCACGCTCAGGTAAAGCTTTTGTCTCTTGTTGTTATTATTTTATATGAAATTAGAGCAGGAGACAAACACAGGATACCTAGCATTTTAAGGTATCTATTCTTTTTTTTTTTTTAAACTGTGTAGCCCAGGCTGGCCTCGAACTCGTGATCCTCCTGCCTCTGCCTCCTTTAGCAAATCCTACCAGTGTGTGCCACCACAACCGGCAAGGTATCTATTCTTATTTGATCCCCTACATTCAATACTTGAAGTTTCACAGGTCAAACCAAGAATTTCTAGTCCTGAGTTTCTTTTACCTGAGAGTTAGCCCTTTAATTTATGCGAGTCAATTGACTTGTGTGCCTAAGTGAAACAAACCCTTTACTTTGTAAGATAACTTTAAAAATTAGTTAAAAAAGATTTTATAGAATTCAAATTTCAAATTTATTTAATTCAAAATTCTATATGACTGTAAAATTATCCAGTGAAATGTAATGATTTATAATACATTTGCTTAAAGGCCCAAAGTAAGTTTCGCATCAACTCAGGCAAGACTGGTCTTTTCAGTACGGAAAGGCTCAAGCATTTCAGCTTAGCTTTAGCAAAAGCAAATATTTAGATTCTAAGAGTAAACATTTAAATCCAGAGTCCATTAGATTAAAAAGTTAGCAAACTAAAGCTGCCTTGCTAGTTAATGTCCCTAAAGGCAAAATCTAAGTCACATGTCTATTGACCTGGAACCCCCCCGCCTTTTTTTTGGCTTTACACAATCATATTTATAATTCTTGCAATAAGGGGATTTTAAAAAACTAGTCTCTTTCATCTACATTCCCACAAAAAACTATTGAAAGTGCCAATTTCTGCTCAGTTGTTTTTTCCTTTGCTTTAAAAAAAAAAAAAGGTGCCAGGAACCCCACCCCACCCACTGCTGGGTAACAGTCAATCATTTGTGGTTCCTGGCTCAGAACAGGCTTTCATGCTTAGGAAAACGCTTTGCAATGAATGGGATCTTGGTCTCTACTCAAAACAAAAAATGGCTAAAAACAGACTTCAATTTATTTTCAAGTCCTATGGCTAAATTCCTTTAATTCCTAACTGGTGAAAATATTGGCAAACTACTGGGTTTTACTTGGGGTCGGAGTGACTTCTTTGGTGTGTGCCTACAGGCCCTGGTAAAGCGCCGTTTGAGATTTTTTCAGAAGGTCACCAATTGGAGCTCAAAACGAATAAACATTGACCCTGAAGTACAGTGTCCAAGGAGATGCAGGAGTACCTCAATTAAAAGAATAACTAAGGGGATGGAGAGATGGACGGCTCGGCAGTTAGTACTGGCTGCCTTTCCAGGATAGGGTTTGGCTCCCAGAACCCACATGGAGGTTCAAAAACATCTATGACTCCAGTTGGACACCCTCTTCTGCTACCAAGAGCAAGCGCCAGGCTCATAAGTTGCACACAGAGAGACATGCAGACAAAACACCCACATAACATAAAACAAGAATAACTAAGTAGAATCATTTTGAGATTGGCCATATCAAAATTTACTTCCCCAAACAAACAAATTTACAGGCCCATGGAAGAATGGCAACCACTCTTAGCTACCGAGACATTGATCCAGACCCAGAATTTATTTTTATAATAAAAAAGTCAAGTTCCAGTGCTCCAGATACATAATGAGAAAGTTACTTTATTTTCTGATAACTTTTTAGACAAGTTAAGGAAAACCTTTTAATTTTATGAGTTATTTACGTCAGTGTTGAGGTTATAACGTTAAAGTGTGTGTGTGTAAAACACCAAGATGAAGAGATGGCTCAGCAGTCAGGGACCTGCTGCTCCTGCAGAACATCTGGGAAGGTCGCAGAACCTACAGCAGGTGTCTCACAGCATCTATAACTCCAGCTTTCCGGGATCCAATGCCTCTGTCCTCCATTGGCGCCAGGCACGCATGCGATACACAATGCTGTCATGTACGCATGAAATAAAACACTCAGATGCATAAAGGAAAAACAAATTTAAAAATGTATTTAAAATTAAAATAAAACGAGAACAACTTAAAGTGGGTTGACACTTGAGGTTTAAGTGAAATAGATCTGAAATCATTAGCAGCAGGATGCTAGCGAGCTAAAGGCCATCATGGCTTTGAAGAGTGGCACACTTCAAATGTCATTTCAGGGTTTTGGGTGCCCAAGATCTGTTCCTTGCGAATCAAATCTGCAGTTGCTGATGGGAATGCTGCCCTTGGGAATACCGATGGGAATGTATGTCCACCACAGAAGTCCTTAGTCTCAAAAGCTGAGACAGAAATAAAAAGGCACCTCCCCAAAGCCTCTGGTAGTCTGGTAGAGTCCTAGAATTGGCTCACTCCCTGGACAGGGCAGAAGTCCCAAGCACAGGCAGCCTCTGGTGAGTCTGTCTCTAGCAATGCTTGAAGGCAATCTTCCTTCTCCAGTGAGTGGGAAGCCTTTGGATCTGAACTGGAACACGGGCATGCTTATGGTGGTTTGAAGATGAATGGCCCCCTTAGACTCATATATTTGAATGCTTCGTCATCAGGGAGTGACACTATTTGAAAAGGGTTAGGAGGTGTGGTCTTACTGGAGTAGGTGTGACCTTGCTGGAGGAAGTGTGTCACTGAGGGTGGGCTTTGAGGTTTCAGAAGTTTATGCCAGGCCCAGTCTCTCTCGGTGTCTCTCTCTCTGCCTGCACGTCAGGATGTAGTTCACGACTACCTCTCCAGCACCATGTTTGCCTCCTGGCTGCCATGCTCTTATCTATGATGATAGTGTACTAAACCTCTGGCACTGTCAGCAAGCTCCCAATTAAATGCTTTCTTTCATAAGAGTGCCTTGGTCATGGTGTCTCTTCACAGCAATAGAACAGTGACTGACACAGTGTCTGCTAGAGCTGTTGACTCTAGCCTTCAAAAGCCAGCACGCTACCTTTGATTTGGTTCAAGTTGCAATGTGTTCTCAGGAAGCTCATTTACTAGCACAGAGAATTGTTATTACATCACCCCTAAGTGTGTCTCATCTCTGAGATACAAAAGTGAAGGTTTTATTTCTGTACATTTTAGAAGCATGTCTCAGAAGATAAAAGACAATTCTGTTATCTGGAAAAAGTCAATGAAACCAATCTTACATGCAAATTTATTGTTTTGATGCACACAGTCAGCTAGTATCCAGTATCATAATTATAATTACAGTGCCCATGTCATCAGAACCTGAGTGGAAATTAAGAATAAAGACTGTGCAGACTCTTATCCAGGAATTCACGTGTCAGAGGGTCTGGACTGTATAGGTGTTGCAGGATATTTGACCACTGTGAACCCCGAGATTGTGTTGCTTAGTGGGGAAAAACCTGTTTCTAGTTGTGGTGTGGCTCAGCTCTAGCACACACCTTTAATCCAAGAGCTTTCTGCTTGAATTAAATAACATCAACCGTAGGCCAAGAGGGGGAGCAAGCAACCAGTTGACAGGAAGTGGACATATGGAAAAACCATAAAGGATAAGAGGAAGTCAGGGCAGGACTCCACAAGGAGAACAACAGAACCAAAAAATCTGGGCCCAGGGTCTTTTCTGAGACTGATACCCCAACCAAGGACCATGCATGGAGATAACCTAGATCCCCTGCACAGATGTAGCCCGTGGCAGCTCAGTGTTGAAGTGGGTTTCCTAATAAGGGGAATAGGGGCTGTTTCTGACATGAACTCAGTGGCACTCTCTCTGATCACTTCCCTGTGAGGGGGGAGCAGCCTTACCAGGCCACAGAGAAGGACAATGCAGCCAGTCCTAATGAGACCTGATAGGCTAGGGTCAGAAGGAAGGGGAGGAGGACCTCCCCTATCAGTGGATTAGGGGAGGGACATTGGAGGAGAAGAGGGAGGGAGGAGGAGAGGGAGGGAGAGCTGGATTGGGAGGGGATGGGGGGGCTACAGATGGAATACAAAGTGAATAAATTATAATAAATAAAAAATTAAATTAAAAAAATAAAAAGCCAAAAAAAAAGAAGAAGAAGGAAGTCAGGAGGATGGCTAGAGAGATGCGCAGGAAGTGGGAGGGAGGGGCATTTGGTTTAAGAGTTTTTTGAGATGGTGTGGGGAAACAGGTTTCCTTTTGCCTTCAGAGATGTCGACTGAGTAGGAAGGTCAGCCGGGTGTTTCTCTGCCTCCCTAAGCAGGCTTTCACCCCAGCATCTGGCTCCTCAGTCTTTAATGGTAAAAGTGAGTGTTTGTGATTTCGTTAAAAACAACAGATAGGCAGAGCCCCTAATTCAGTCCTGTGACAGTGATTTCATCATTAGTCAGTAGCTGTGTAAGACTGTCCTGGCCACTAAGCAGTCATCAATGCATAAAAAAGATAAAACCTTTAATATTTATTTTATTAATTTATTTTCTAGTTAGCTGAGTGAGTTTCTGTTAGTGCAGGGTTTTGCTTTGCTTTGTTTGTGGTGATGAGGATGGAATCTAGAGCCTTCTGAATGCTAGTAGCTTTTTCCCATTGAGCTACAGCCCCAGGCTTCCCATTTTTTTTCTTTTGAAAAAGTGTCTTATTGTGTAGCCCAGGTTAGTCTCATATCTCAACCTCTCTAGTGCTGAGATTCAGGGACATGCCACCATACCTGGCTCAGAGGTAGCAGCACTTATATCAAGAACAAAACAATCCAGATATGACAGGGCCATGGCAATCCTGAACTCACGGCATCTGTCTCTGTAGGACTAGGAACACACAAGAAGTCAGGTCCTCCTACCAGTCAGTTACAGGCGTGGAAAGAGTCACCGATTCTGCTGCTTACGGCTGACCTATTGGCAATTACAGGTCCTGAAAAAAGAAAAGAAATAATAAGCAGCTGTGTCCACTGCTGAGCCCTTCCTTAGTTCAAACCAGGGCCACACAGGCAGCCCTTCTTATTAAATGCTTCAGGACACTGAACAAAAACTAGTAAATGTGAGGGAATTTTTTGTAAGGAAGGAGAGGGTCTGGCAGAGATGGTGTAGGGGGATTTAAGGAAGAATTTTGATAGGGAAAATAAGCAGAATATATTATATACATGTATGGGATTGTTAAAGAACAGAAATTAAATAAAAGGAAACTGCAATGGGGAGATAGAACCGTAGGGATCTTGTGACAGAAACTGCTGAGTGTTTCTCAATATCTGTTTTTTTGTTTTTTTCAATAATTGAAGAATCCTCAATTTTTAGCTGAATGTTCATTTCTAGAAGCCCTCAACAGCAGTGTGATGATGTTGGAGGGGCAAATATTATGCCCTGATATGGGAACCTAATGTTTGTCTTTCCACAGACATTTCCATTTTCTCTACACACACACACACACACACACACACACACACACACACACACACACA